CATTACCATTTATTGAAGAGGCCTTCTTTTCTCCATTGTGTGTTTTTGGCGCCTAAAAGGAGCCTTTAAGTACAAGGAAATTTGTTTAGAAATTTTTTTGAGGAATCTGACCATATTTTAGTTTATCTTTTTGGTGAGTCCAGATTTTTCATGTATCATGATACTGAGATATGCAATTTAATTTTCTGCACATCACAGCAATATAAGATTTCTATTAATGCAGAACAAACAGGTGAATCAAGTAATTTTATCTTACGTTAAAATAACTTACTTAAAATTTTAGATGGTTTTCTTCTAATGACTTATAATTAAGAACATTTTTGTTTCACTTATATTAGTAATTTGAATTTGTACAGATGTCAAGAGATAAGTATAGTTCTTAAAAATGCTGAAAAATTAAAAACTAAGATTATGAATACATTCAAAGCATTATTCTTGTGAAAGCTTAATGCATTATAATTTGGGAGCTTAAAATTAAAACCAGTTTTAAATAAGAAATTGTTTAAATTGTACTTTGACATTCTGTGATGTTATGAATAAGTACTATTCAAATAAATTTCAAGTTTAAATAGTTTAACTTTTATAGTAATTAGTGAGATATTTTATTTATACATTTTGTTAACATATATTAGCATATTTATGTTCTGAAACCTGATTATAATGCTATCTTACGGGGGGGAGGGGGGGGAATTTCAGAGAAATTTTGTTACAGCTTCCACATTTTTTTCCCTTTGGCTCTAAGTACTTTAAAATCTATGAGATTCCCATTGATTTTATTAGCAACTTTAGAAAATCATGTATTTGAAAAACCACTTTTTCAAATGACTGATTATAAATAAATGAATTATTAGTAATGAGTATGCTATAAGTACTAGTGGTAATAAAGTAGGAAAGTAATACATTCAAATTTTTAAAAAGATTTCTTGCTTCCCTGAAAGACTTATTTATATCTAATTGCACATAATTTGTTTAATAATTTATTTCTCAAAAGTTATGAGATGTAGAAAAATTTACAAAAATGCTTCTTCATAGTAAGATAAATTTTCATTTTCAGAAAACCCTTATTTTCCATTGTAACTTATTATTTCTAAGTGAATATGTATTTTACAAGTGTAAGCTTACTATACAGGGTCTTTGGAAGTTGATAAAGGGGTATGCTATACCTAAAATTAATTGTTGATTATTTATTATGTAATTAGCTATTTTGTGAATTATAGGCCATTTACTTCTCTTGTAGTTTTCATGTTTTGACTTATGTTCTAATTTAAAAAGAACCATTATGTTCTAATTTAAAAAGAACTGTTGCTACTACTTGCTATTCAAGTTAAATCTATTTAATAAATAGGTATTTAATAATTGAAATGATGTTTGAATCTTGGTTAATTTTTACTTTAAAATTGCTTAATGGCTATATTAGAATTAGTTCACCAGTGAGAAAAATATGATTAGCAAGGTGTTGAAATAAGGAAATATGTGAAAAAAGTTTAAGTGAGCTCTGTGATGAGGGAGATGGGTGGGAGCTGTCCTCGTACAGACCAGGTTAGTGATGTGATGTCATTCTCATAAAAAACTTGTTTTGCTTGCATGTTGTGAGTTGGTGGTCTTGGCCCTTTTAATTAAGGATAATAATTCACGATAAAATGAGATTTTTTTGTTGATCATCTTATGCAGAATGAGTGAGAATTCATTGGTTAAGAACCACTAACCTGTCCTCTCACCCCTAGGGTGTGAGCACTGAAAAGGATTAAGGCCCACTGTAGGGAAGCTTGCACTGAAGCTTGCACTGCCCTTTCCTCTGTTCTTTCTATTAAATAGAAGATTTTTAGTTCCCATGACTATCAATCTGGTGCTTTTCACAAGCACCAAATTCTTTTTAAGAAATTAAGATGACTTATTTTTAGAAATCCACTGGCCTAGAATACCGAAAGATTTTTTTTTATATATGTCATGTTGGCAGACTCTATACATAGTATTTTTTTCTAATGAAGATTAGTTTGTTTTAATTTATGTTGAATTTAGTGGTCGATAATACACTTTTAAAAATCAAGGACAGGTTTTTATATGCTTAAGTTTGCTTACTCAGTAGTAATTATAGAGTTTGGCAATGTTGAATCGTACATTTTATTAGAAATAATATCTGGCAACCCTGTGGACAGAATACTGCAATTATAAAGTGCTTTTTTTCATGCTTAAAGGCTTTTAAATAGCTCTTATAAATGCTGAAGTGTCGTATATTTTTTATTAGTATCTGCCAAATTGGTATTGTGTTTAATCTTGAAAATATATTTTGATTTTGTTAACTAAAAATAATTACAGAATATTAAACATTCTCAGTAGTTAAAGTTTTTTTTCCATTTAATTTGAGCTTTTGTTGTTACTAACAAATAATTTGTGGCACAGTTTCTTGCTTTCTTTCTTTCTTTCTCTCTTTCTTTCTTCTTCCTTTCTTTCTGATAGAATCTATGTACTTGTCACCTTAGTGTGCTAGAAATGTTCCACTCCGATCAAGGGTTTCTTTCTGGTTTTGTCTGTTCTCACCTGCTCCTCACTGTAAATCATGGAAATGTCAAGTGTAATGATTAATTAAGCTGCACGTGCAAGTGCTTTTTTTTTCACCTGTCAAGCAGGAAAGAGGTCTTACAGCAAGATTAGAAGGTGCCAATTCACAGCTTTTACTTCAGACTGTCAATTGTATAGAAATATTTTTTATTTAGATAATTTTATAAATATTTTATATTTAGATGCCTATCCAGAATATGCCATAGCAGGGTTTGTTTGGTTTAGCATTCTTAAATATTGTAAGATGCAATTATTATACCAAACCCTATTATTAAATCATTAAACTCCTAATTAGAGGCAAAGAGTGTATTCAGAATTTCTATGTAAATATTTTTATTCAGATACTGCTAGTTGATTTAAGTTACTTAAAGTAAATATTTAAAAATGTTTAAATTGTGTGTGAGTGTGTGTATCATATACATCACGAGATTCATTCGCAATGAGGTTCTTTCTTTTTATAATATAACATGGGTTTAAATTTATGATGAAAAGATGATAGTGGGAACTACACATTTTTTCTTTGAGTAATGAAATTTTTCAGAATGTAGTTTTACGCTTTTAATTTTTATACTTTAATATTAAACAAGACTTGTAAAGCTTGTTCTTCCCACCCTAGTTCTTTCACCCCCAGCCCCCGATTCTTAAACCATCAGTAAAAGGAAAACCTCAAATTGTATAGTAATCTTAATCTATTATTAAAAGGTCCTAGAAAGGAAGATTACAAGGTAGATTCAGGTTTTGAATCGGTTTTGCCATTGGTTTAGCAGCGGGTGGGCAGGCAGATGCCTGCTCAGAGTAGAACCTATTGCCATTTTTCACCATTGATAGAGTAGCCTTTCAGAGTCAATGAGCTCTGTCAATGTGAGCTTGTCAAGGCTACAACTTCATAGACCTGAGAGGCGGTTTGAGAGGTCAGCCCTTTTCAGGTTTGCTGTGATGCAAATGAACTTTAATGCTTAAACAACTATTGGAATTTTTATGTCTGCTCCTTGTTCTTTTTTCTTCACAAAGTCATTGACGAGACATTCAGTGCTTTTTAAATTAGAAGTTGCATTGTGCTAAAGACCTAGTACAGATTTACGGAGGGCTGAAAGCAGTTAGATCATGTTCTTTTCATGGTGCGATTAGAATCAAATCGATTTCCCTACAGCCTTCAGCATTCAGATGGCAATTTTAACAAAGCTTGGGGGCTAGACAAGGGACAAAACGACTGAACTGAATGTTAATTACACTCTGCAGCCTTATTTTCTTTTGATTTGGGGCTGACTGGCAACTAAATTAACAAAAAGTGTGACCATAACTGCTGCCCTATTTTCATTTAAAAGGAGAGCTGCCTCTAAAAGGCTATCTTTACAAAGAAACAAGTGAGGTCTGCTGATCATTGTTAGCAAGGGCACTTTTTTCCCTTTAAAATTCTTGCCCCCCAAAAACGTTAAAAAATAATGTAATAAATTAGTCATTGTTGTATTATTATCCAAAGAGTTAGTTGGTTTTCTGATTTTTATGACATATACTTGGGGAATGTAAGGTGGTAGTGATAATTCACTGGTAGTTATGAAATATAGTTGGCACCTATGTGCCTGTGATGTGTCTTCAGCATGTTCAACATGCTGAAAGGTAATATGGTAAGTAGTTAATAGTAGCTACTATTTTCTTATGTAACATTTGACTATTGAAAACCAGCTTGATCCTACAGTTTCTCACCTAGCTCATCCTTGCTTGATATGCAGTTTTTTACAATTTGATTATTAGTACTTATTTAGTTGTGCCACATTAATAGTGTTATATGCTTTTTTCCTTCCCTTGTGAGGAAGCTGCAGCTGTACCAAGTTGCATTTGATTCTTGTGGAAACACTGTCCTTTTTGCACCTGCAGCTGTGTCAGTCTCATCCTAACACCTGGCACCATGAATTATCCTTTCCTTTATTCTTATTCCCAAGCAAGAAACATTTCATGCTGTATAGTACATATTGCAAAAGTCAAGTAATCTTAAACATAAATTTCTCAGTTAATTTCTTTAACAGTAGTGTTGATTAAGAGTTTAATATTGTTATCATTCTTGTGGGTTTAAATACAGATTTGCTCCTGTTTTAATACCTAACACTTACATATTATTTCAGTATTGCAAATCTATTTTTGAACTAAATGGGGATTTAAATTTATATCATTTGGTAGATAACTAGCTTTTTAGAGTTTGATAGTTTTAAATCAGAGGTTAGTTTGAAACAGCGAAAAAAGGAATCAATGCTAAAAACAAAACGTATCTTTATTAGAGTACTATTTGTATTTAGATTACTATTTAATGCTTGACTGTTGATAGTGTTATAGGCCACCCTATATTCAGTCACTGTCTTATACCTCTCTTCTCACACAAAAAGCAGCTGCAAAACAGTTTTTCTAAAACCAGTCAAGAGTAAACTTTTTTCTCATTTGTCTTCCAGACACGAAGATCGATTGAGAAGTTATTAGAATGGGAAAACAATAGGTTATACCACAAGGTGAGTACCACAGGGAGCAGCTTCGTACTGTTGGGGTCTGAATTGCACAGTATGGAAACAGATGCTTTTGTTGAACTAAAAATATGAAAGGTGGACAAATGGGTTAGTCTGTTTGCTGCAATAAACTAGAGCTCATTTTTCTTCTTTTACTCTCCTTCTTGTCTAGCTGTGCTTGCACTGGAGACTGAGCAAAAGGAAATGTGAAACGAATAACATGATGGAATATGTAAGTTAAAGGGCTGTTTTGTGAGTTTCTCTATTAAATGATCATTTATTTTGCTTCTGATCTTATTCTTTCCATGATTATTAATCAGCAAAGGTGTCAGGAGCTTAATCTCCTGAGTGCAAGGATTTTCTACGGTTCACAGATGCATGGTTTCATGTGCAAGACTGATTTATAAAGTTATGAATGACTTGAAAACAAGGCTTCACTGTGTTCTGAAAAATAATAAATTAATTGCCAAGATAAAATAGCCTGAACATGTGTTGATGGAGTGTGAAATTTTAGGTGCTGTATAAAGAATAACCACAACTTTGGTTACGCAGCAAGTCAGATATGGCTTTTTTATATAATGCTAATCAAGTTTCCAAGTGTGGAAGAAAACCTTTCAGCCAAGCCATTGGAGCTTAAGAAACCTTTAGCCTTTATAAATTTTAACTACCCATACCTCAGTGGCCTTTAAAGGATCTTTTAAAGTGTTATTAGAATATTGTTTTATAAAAATTATCCTTAAAGTATGTAGGAGGTGGGATTTTGCCTGTCTTTTGTTTATTCTTTAAAAGATATCCAAGTTGGCACATGTATATAATGAATTTGAGAACTTAATTCAGTATGATATTTAATCTACCGACTCTTTAATTTACTTGAACAATTTTTCTCCTTTTGAAAAATTCAGAATAATTATGAATTTTTATTTATTTTGTCTTGAGCTTGGGTGTTTTATTTTAAATATCAAAAGTTATTATATTACCTGAAAAACATCTAAGGAAGAATTGATTGTTGAAATTAAAGTCATAGTCTTTGTGAAGTGCCTGGCACATCATTTCTGACAAATTCTATTTGATACAGTTAAGCTATCAGAGATAGTGTGTATGTGTATAAAAGATTGATTAAAACAGTGCTTAAATAGTTGGAAATTGTCATAATATCATTTTGCTCTATAGTATTTACCCTTTCTTTCATTATCATACAATCAAATCTCATTTTTAGCTTTGAACATAAAAGACATCTTAAAAATACCTCTTTTTTCATAGAATAGGTCTATATTCAGTGAACCAAATAATTTAAAATTTATCATCATCTTTTATATAAAACATGTTACTTTATACTGATGAGAAAGACACTTGATACTTTATAATAATAATGAAATATAGTCAAATAACTTGTTTTTAGATTGACCTATGAAAATGCTAGTCTTATATTTTCATCAGAGATAGTTTATGTGTTTTGGCGGGAGGAATGGATATGTAAGAAATTTAAAGCATTTTGTGAAAAAATTTCTCTATAAGCTCAACCACTAAGCTTAAAAAACTAAGGCTTTTAAAATTTATTTTTTCACATTTCTAAATTTATATTGGAAAGAAAAACAAAAGTTATTCCCAATGCAATTATTTCCAGATAGAACTATAGGAATGTCATTCATTCATAAAATATGCTTCTTATATTCATCTTTGTTTTATATTTTTTTAACTAAAAATAAAATAATTTACTAACCTTTCAAAACATCATGAGCTGTGTGCTTTGTTTGTAAAGTAGTTTCCTTTAATTTTTTATGAGTTTTTAGATAATTAAACTCTACTATTAAAACCATTATATTTTCCATACCATCATAGAAGATACTCAGAAGAGTAATACAATTTTTTAAAAATTGTTAAAAATTTATATTTTTCTAAACATTTCAATATATATATATTTGTGGTAGTTGAATGGGAGAATAGCATAATTGCAAAAACTTTCTAACAAATAATTTTAAAAACTTAAGATAACAAATAATCTAGTAAGGAGAGAGGGCTTCTTATCTAATGAATTGGGGTATTCTTATCATGTATTTCTCTTTGACCTGAACTTTTCTTTAGCTTACAGATATTTCACTTGTTAAAGGAAAATAGTTCTCCTTGATTATATTTTGAACATTGGAGATAATCTAGAAAAATATCAACTTGATACCAATTTTTCTTTTATTCTGATGTGGTAGAGCACTATGATTTAGAAGGAATGCAACAAAGTGGCCAATTTCTATGCATTATATTCTTTAAAAAATAATGCAAATATGGCCAAAGATAGCATTTATTTTCCGTTCTGTCATATACACTGTAAAATGTAATGCCTACATCCAGGAGCTGAAACTGTGTAGACTGCTTGATTGGGGACACGTTTGAAATATAGAAGTATTTATTGAATGTTGACTTATAAGTAGTTTAAACATTTAATTATCAATTTTTAGAGACAGTTTCTGAAAAAGAAAATGAGTTCACCAAACTTGGAAATGTTCAAATCAAATAATTTTTTTTGTTAGCACCTATTTTATACAGAGTTGGAAAAGGGAAATAATTGATTGGAATTTAAGACAGTTCAAGTTTGGAATAAAAATTAGCTCTGGTCTTTCTGTGTTACTGTGTTCTCTCTTTGTTGATTTTCCTTTAGTTTTTTTGTTTTGTTTGTTTTTTTAATATATTTTTTTGCTTTCAGAGAGGAAGGGAGAGATAGATAGAAACATCATTGATGAGAGAGAATCATTGATTGGCTGCCTCCTTCACACCCCCTGCTGGGGATCAATCCCACAACCCAGGCATGTGCCCTTGACTGGAATCGAACCTGGGACCTTAAGTCTGCAGGCCAGCTCTCTATCCACTGAGCCAAACCGGGTAGGGCTCCTTTAGCTTTTTTTGTAAAAGGTCCTTGGGAACAAATTTCAACCTTTAATTTTGTTAACTTAAGAAAAGGACTTTTAAAAAATTAAGAGAGAAGGGATCAATACCTTTTATATAGAGATCACATATCCTGCTACAGTAAAATGAGAGCAACTCTAGAACCTAATGACCCATGGAATTGGGTTAGATGAATGGGTAGAAGCTGCAGCCACATAGTATAGTAGAAAAGGCAATACTTTGCAGTTAAGAATGACCTTTGTTCAAATAGTGACTTAACATCTATGGTGTTACCCTTCTCAGATCATCAGTTTCCTCATCTGTAAAATGAGGATGATAATGTTTGCCTCATAAGAAAAGTTGTTGGGATTAAATAAATCCAGATAGTATGAAACACTTATAATTAGTAAGTGCTAGTTCTGTTTTCTCCTTTATTCATGCATGTATTCTGTGTGTCAGAGGCACTATCAAAATTGTTTTAAATATTGGAATATAACTGAAGTTTTATTAAGATAAAAATCTATTTAAATATTTTTAAAACTTTTTCTTTTCTCCTTCTACAGGTCATCCTCATAGAATTTTTACCAAAGACACCAATTTTTCGACCAGATTAGCATTTACTTTATTTATAGAGACTTTCCAAGTATGTTGTCTTTCCAATGGTGCCTTGCTTGGTGCTCTTCTGGTGGTGACATAACATTGGTTCTACAGAATCGTGTGGTGTTTTTTTCTTTTTTTTTTTTTTAATAACCGCATGTTCTAAGTGTGCATTTTTGTCCAACTTTGCAACAGTTATTTCATACAGATGTTTAATACTTAAGTTATTGTGCTCTTTTCTGTTATGTATTCTGATTTTCAAGGTTACTTTTTTGTATTATCAAAAAAAAATACATTTGAACTTAGCATAAAAAATGGCCAGCCTTTTTTATTTTATCACCAAGGTATACACAGTCTTTTATTTATTAATTCCTTAATATAGAAAAACACCTTTGTAAGACTCTACTCATCATTTATAGCAAGCACACTCTTTGTATTCTTTCTCACCCTTTTTAAATTTAACAGTTATTCTTTTAAAATAGTAAGTTTTCTTTAATAGCTTTTTGTCATTTAACATATCCTTTCTCATACAATTCCTAATGCTCTGTTTACAGCGGAAATATTTGTAACATTATGAAGACGTATAAAAAAGTTTTGAAAGGATTTCTGGTTTCAAAGGTAGCAAGGCAGAATTAAATTATTTTTTATTAGAATAGACAAATCAGTGAATGGTATGCATGCATCTAATGGTTACTAGAGCTCAGGATCATAAAAATTTAGTATCATTACAATCTGTGTATATTTTTTATCAAGATGATAATGCCTTATTTGGGTTATTTTTTGTTTATCAAATCTTATATACAAAAGTATGGAAATACTCCTTTAAAAAGTTTCTAAGGAAAATATTTCTCCTAACACAGTTGTAGAATGGATATATGTTTCTAAAAAGTTTTGAAAGAAAGTAAAAATTCTAGAATTAAAAATAAGCTGGTGTTTAATACCCCATTGATATTTAGAACAGATTATTACTAAAAAATGGAAGGCGTATTTAGTACTGTTTTTATCTACTAGTTTGCTTTTGGTCCAGTTATGTGTACTTTTTTTTTTTTTTATTGAGAAGGTGACATTTAAGTTTAAATTAGATCAGCTTGTTTCTTTTACATATATACAAACATACATTTTTTTTCTCTTTTTGGTTGTACATATGTCCATGCATTTTAAAACTTTCTGAATGGCCTATGTGTAAATTTTTGTTTTTATAAACTTGAAATTATACAAATTTTAATGTGTGTCAAGAACTTGTTCCATACAGCTGTGGTATCGAGCAATAATGTGAATAACTTTTGAAATTATATAAACTGTGCTTAATAATTTGTATTGAGAATTGGTACCACTATACCTTTTTTCCTTGTATTAAATTTTTTAAATACCAGTTTCATTAATTTATATACCTGTATTTTTTAAAGTATTTCTTTGTACTTCTCCAAAGTACTGTAATTCTATATAAATTTGAATAGTTGAATGCCAGTATTATATTTCATATATTGGACATTAGGAACTATCTTAAAAACTAAGATTTTTTTTTTATATGAGAATTATTTCTTTCCCTTGCCCCCTAAAATACTTAACAACTTGAATTTATAAAACATTTTTCTTCTGAAGAGCTCAAAGTAGAAAGAATCTAAACACTTCTCACTTCATTTACCTTATGTCTAGGGTGTGGCCTGACACCTTAAAGTAATGCAATTAAAAGGTAATGCTATTCAAAAGCTCTAGTATTTCTCTGGTTTCAGTGTGGAAAATTGTATGGGGAATGCTAAATCTGCCTCAGTATTCAGCAAGAGCAGAAAAATATGACTATAGACTATGCAACATAGTGTTCCATATCTAAAATTTTATAAATTTGTAGAACAGCATATTGATTAGCTTTATAAGAAGAATTGTACCTTTTGAGACATAATTTTTCTCCTATTATTAGTCTTCTGTAAGTTATAATTTTTATTCCCTTAAGAATATTTAATAGTAAGATAGTTTCATAGTTGATAATATTAAGTATAGGATTTTTAAAAGCCTTAATTTTATTAAAGACTAGAGGCCTGGTGCATAGATTCATGCACTGGTGGGGTCCCTCAGCCTGGCCTGCGCCCTCTTGCAGTCCGGGTCCCCTTGGGGGATGTTGGACTGCTGGTTTTGGCTCGATCCCCACAGGCCAGGCCAAGGGACCCCACCAGTGCACGAATCCATGCACTGGGCCACTAGTCTATATATATAAAAGCCAAAGCAACCGAACAACCAGTCAACCAGTCGCTATGACACGCCCTGACTACCAGGGGGCAGACGCTCAACGCAGGAGCTGCCCCCTGGTGGTCAGTGTGCTCCCACAGCGGGAGTGCTGCTCAGCGAGCTTACCGAGCAGCAGCAGTGGCAGCAGGCACAGTGGGGCCGGGATGAGAGGAGCGGCGCAGGCTCCTCCCGGGCCACCTGCTGCTTTGCGCACTACTACATCCCTTGGGGGATGTCATACCGCCAGTTTTGGCCCTATCCCTGAGGGATCCTGGATTGCAAGAGGGTGCAGGCTGAGGGACCCCACCAGTGCGCGAATCCGTGCACTGGGCCTCTAGTCCTATATAATAAAGAGTTAATATGCTAATTACACCAAACAGCAGAATGACTGTCTGGACATCCTTCCGGATAAAGCCAGGGCTGCAAGGGTCAGCTGAGGCTGCGAGGGGCTGCGAGGGCCGGCCGAGGCAACTGGGCTGCAAGGGCCAAGCCCCTTGCACAGATTTTGTGCATTGGGCCTCTATATATATAAAAGCCTACGTGACCATTTGACCGTTTGCTATGATGCACACTGACCACCAGGGCGGAGACGCTCAATGCACAGACATGGAAACATGGAATAGACTGATGAATATCAGGGGGGAGTGGGGAGGGCAGGAAGAGATTAACCAAAGATCTTTTTTTTTTTTTTTAAATATATTTCTTTATTGATTTCAGAGAGGAAGGGAGAAGGAGAGAGAGATAGAAACATCAGTGATGAGAGAGAATCATTGATTGGCTGCCTCCTGCACACCCCCCACTGGGGAACGAGCCCGCAACCCAGGCATGTGCCCTCGGTGCCCTCGGCCGGAATCGGAATCGAACCTGGGACCCTTCAGTCTGCAGGCTGACACTCTATCCACTGAGCCAAGCCGGCTAGGGCAAACCAAAGATCTTATATGCATACTAGAGGCCTGGTGCACGGGATTCCTGCACTGGTGGGGGGCGTGGCCGACAGGGATCAGCCTGTTGTGGGAGCCCAGCCAAGCAGCTGTGGATCTGCCCTCTGAGCAGCCGCTCCCTGGTCTGGCATCTTCTGTGGAGACGGAGCACTTGGCTCTCCAGGGGACCTGATTGGGGCCGGGCCCAGGGACAGTAGCACTGAGAGGCGGCAGAGTAGGCCTCAGTCCGGCGGCGGCCATGAACCCGCCTCCCAGCCTCTTGGGTCAGGTCTGTGAGTCCAGGTGGTGGCAGTGCTGCGCAGCCTGCGGGCATCTGGAGGAGGCAGCAGGGAGTGAGGAGACGACAATCGCAGCCTGGGTTCCTGCCCGTCAGCCCGGGGTTCGCAGTGGGAGCAGCCGCTCATGCCAGTCAGCCAAGCGGCGCTCCCACTGTGGGTAGCGCACTAACCACCAGGGGGCAGCTCCTGCGTTGAGTGTCTGCGCCCTGGTGGTCAGTATGCGTCATAGTGACTGGTCAACCAGTTGTTTGGTTGCTTTGGCTTTTATATATATAGATTCCCTAGAAATGTGCACTCTTATAATTTCTAATGTATATATAGAAAAAAACCCTGAATGCTTAATATGTGGTATTACCATAAGTCAGTTATGCCTTGAGCTTGAGTATCTGGGCTAGTAGCCTCCAGTATAACCCCTCTGGCTTATCCTTTCTTGAGTCATGAATATAAGTGCCCATGTTACTGGAAATTAGAAATATTTAAAATGATGATTGTTCTTCTGTTCATGTTTTCTGCCTTAAAGTTTGTGAAGCATGAATCATAGGTACTTTTAGAACTGACCATGGAAAAATATTGGCAGAAAATCTAATGTATAGATTTTACATAGGCTAAATGAACAACTTAGGATCTTTGTTTATGTATTACTGGCATTTTACAATCAGTCACCATTCCTGTGTAGAAACATTCTTTTATCAAATAATGTACCTAGCAAACTCTATTCAATTTAATACATGAATTATATATATTTGGCTTATATATATATACTCCAAAACCTAACGACAATAGTAAAACTTAAGGGCCCATTTAGCTTCTAAGGTAGATATTGCCCCACCCTCACAAGAGGCTCACCTTACCCATATAAAATGGTCATCAGATGCTTTATTAAGATTCTTTAATGACTGGGTTCATTAATTTAAAATATGAACATGTGATTTAGGTCTAAAATCAGTAAGTGTTCAAACTTTGAATAACAGTAAACAATGATTTCATTTTCTTAGTATAAAAACTAGTTTTGTAATTGAATAATTTTAAATCAAGAACAACCACAACTTTTTCCATAGTTGTGTTTTCAGTGTTATTTGTACAGAGCTTCTGACTGCTTCTTTATATTAGTAGACACAAGGTAATGGTATAAAATTTTGATATTTCTTATCAATTTCTGGTTATAAAAAATGTTAGAGTAACATGAACAGTTGGACCCACAGCCACATGAGTTCACACTAGTTTTATATAACATTGTGTACAGACTGTTTCAGCATTTATGGTATTCTGCTTCACAATTATAACATTTAGCTGCATACCTGATTTTCACTATACATGTTTGCTTTGGCTCAACTGTTTGTCAGTAGTACTAAATCAAAAGTACAGTGTGTTTAAAACTGTCTTTAGCTGAATTCCAGCATCTAGTCCTGAGGCCTCTTTCCTTCTCCTATCCTACTGAAGCACTGTGGGTCCTTTTGCTGCCCTCTTGATGTCCAGAGTCTCCCCTCAGGCAGGGACATAGTCCAGAATTGCCTTTCTATTATCCTTCCCCAAAGCTCTCAGTAAGAATGTTAATTCTTCCTCATTCTTAGCTAGGTGTTCAGAAGGCCAGTTAAAGTGAGTCAGTCACATTAAGTGATGAAGAGCTGACACTTTCAATTCTGCTAAGGTGGTACTTGCATTTTTAAAATGGAGTGTCTTAACTTAAATTTCCAATTTGGTGCAGTGGTGTAATTGGCATTTTTCTTTTCAACAGTTCCTATCAGTCCAGACATTTCAGGGAGGAAGTAATAGGATAGTTACATATGGGGCTTCTCAAAACCACCATTTCTGAAGAAAGCTGATTTATATGTAGTATTAGGGAAGAAAGAATAGATTAAAGGCCAGTCCTAAACCAAACTATTAATTATCCCATAATAGTTTGTGTTTACCCTTTTAAAAAGGATATAAAGTAACTTTTAATTTTTGTATATACAGTAGCCAACTATTATTTTTAGGAACATATAAATGGATATTTGAAGGAGATTTGTCTTTAAATTTTGAGTTATCTTGTTCTGTACTTTTACAAAGATTTTTAGATAGTAACTTAAGAGAAGCCTATATATTGTTTGTTAGTCATATTTCAGTGTACTTGTTTCTGCAATAGGGAACAATATTCCACCCCCTCCCCCATGGTGAATTGAAACAACAGAGTTTGTTTATAGCCTTAATAGACAATTCTGAAAACAAATTCAGAATGCTAATCCTGATTTTTAATTCATTTCTATGTTCTGCAAGATCATCAAGATACTCGGCCTCTTTGCTTTTATTTTCATTTCCACAAAAGGAAGATACTATGACTACCTCGTATTTTAAAATCATTTATTATGCTGTTATTTATTACATCCTGTATAAAAGTAGGAGTAGCTAGATGTTTACTACTAATGATTGAGTAGCTTTTTTGACTTATTTTCAGTGTCAGCAAAAACCTGAGCTACTTTCAAATTTTACATTTAAAATTAAAGCATTAGAATGAATACTCCCTATATCTACCTATAGTAAAGCTTTGCATGTTTTAAAATCAGACAGACATTAAATATAGTAATTGAGAAAAGCTTTTTTCTAATACCTTTTAAACTATTGTTTCATCTCAGATACTTAAGCAAAATCATGCCTTAAAAACAAGTTTTTCTCTACATTATAAACATGGTGCTTTATCTGAATTTGAGAGATGAGTCTTTTTTTCCCTTTATAAAAAATATAGTATATTACTTTCCTAGCTCTTTTTTAAAAATACGTTTTTATTGATTTTTTAGAGAGAGGAAGGGAGAGGGATAGAGAGAAATATTGATGAGAGAGAAATATCGGATCAGCTGCCTCCTGCACACCCCCTGTAGGGGATCCAGCCCGCAACCTGGGCATGTGCCCTGATCAGGAATTGAACAGGCGGCCTCTTGGTTCCTGAGTTGATGCTCAACT